TTCTGCAGAAAATGGAGGCTGCTTGTGGCGATGACACGCCAAGGTTTGGGGAGGCCTGGGAGGTGGGGACTTGCAAGTCACAGCAAAGTGTGCTTGTTGGGATCTCATTCTCACGGTCTGTCACTAATCGCGTGTGCCTCCAGCCCCACCTGGCGGGCAGTGAGGGAGCCTTGTGTGTGTTCTTGGTCAGGCGCTTCTCCGATTTTCCAGCCTGGCCATTCTAAGCGTTCACCTCTGCCTCATGCTGGCATGAAGCGCATCCCTTTCCCCTCCACTCAGTAAAAGGATGAGCAGTTTAGTTCAATGAATAATTATTGTGTGCTCACTGAACGTCAGGCATTTAGCAAACGACACAGTCCCCACCCAGCGTTACGTCAGTCTGCCTTGCAAACCTTTCTTAATTCTGTGCCTCATCCAAACAAATGTCCATAAATAGGTATATCGACTACGGTCTCTCAGGAAAGTGCCAAAGAGACGGGGTTGCCAGATAAAATACAGAACGCCCAGTTCAATTTGAATTTCAGATAAACAATGAAAAAAACTTTCAGTGTAACTATGTCCTACATATAGTATAAATATGTCCTCCACAGCATTTGGGAAATGCTAATGCTAGAAAATTATTCACTGTTTACCTGAAATTCAAATTTAACTGGGCATCCTATATTTTCACTTGTTAAATGTGGTAGCCCTGCAAAGGGAGATGACATTTATAGTGCAAATGAAAAGTCTCCCAAATCATCATTGTCTCCCTCTTTCTGTCTCCCACGCATACAACAGAGGCTCCCAAAGTCCTCCTCCCTCTCACTCCCAGTTTCAGCTCCCAAGAACAACTAACTCAGCCTAAACAGGGTCCTCTTTGTCTAATGCTATTCTTTCTTTTTTTGGTTTCACCCCCCAGAGGCTCTCAATTCCACAGTCTTTGGCTTCTCTGTTTTGTGCCCATATCCACCCGTCCTCCGTCATCCTCACTGAAGCCCCAGAGGTGGTCCTGGCCCCTTCCTCTGGGAAGGCAGGGAGGGAGTAAGGCTGTGAATATATACCATTCTTTGTTCCCTGTCTGAATAGGCTAAAGCCGCAGACAAAAAGCTCTTCAGCTCTGCC